CGGCTTTTCTCTCCGTCTCTGGCTTTATGAGCCTGGTTAATGAATATCGATTGCTCTGCCTTTCCAGCCAGGAAGATAGGTCGAATTTGGGTGAGGTTCCTTTGCAGGTTTTTCTCCAACGGGAAAGGGGCCTCGACAAACCCCTTCGTTCTGCCGAGCGCCGATTAATCATTCCTTTTTTTCAGAGGAAAGGCTCGATCTCGGCTTCCCCAGCCCGACACACGCGAGCCAAGGGGACTTAAAACCTGCAACGATTCACACAACCGTGAGGCAGCAGCAAAGAATTAGGGGTTCCCCCCCCTGAGCTCTTTCCTGACATCTTGTCATCCCATTTTCTGCAGTCCAGATCTGATAGCCCTACCCACATTTCCCTAGGAATGAAGTAACAGGTCAGCAACTGGACGCCTCCGGAGCCAGCCTGCCCACTTTTAGCGAGCACCGTTTGGCCCTTCAGGAGGCTACCAAAATGCAGAGAAAGAAATTAGTAATACTTTTCAGGGTTCCCCCCCCCCCAGTTCAGGACTAAGACTGAGTCCAGAGAAACAACTGGGGGGGACCACAGAACCAGCATCGCCGTTCGCGAGGCGTCTGCAAAGAGGATAAGCTGTTTGCCCCCAAACCGCCAAAACAATGTGGGTCAAAATATGCCGAGCACCTGATTGCACCCCTTCTTTTTCCACATGCTTCCTCTCACCCCCAACTAGGGAGCTCTAAATTCTCACAGGTGGGGCTATAACACAAAATATGATGATGACAGAGACGGGAGCTGGCTTGGCAGACCCCCCCCCCAACATTTAAGCAAGGAAAAAGACCCTATACTTTCCCCATGCCTGCGCTAAACCTTTGAGACCTCCGCCTGCTTTCCTCTTATTTTTCGCCACCCTGGATACCAACCTCCATTATCCCCAGCCCAAGCACACAACCAGGCAGGGGAACCATGGGCCTCGTTGTGTTGCGAATCCCAAAGGCACACAAAGGGATCCAAGCTGAATGGGTTTCTTGGGGAATGGGGCAAGCTGGAATAGGATCTCTGGGGCCCCGGGGCCCTGATCAGCGTGCCAGGAGCCCCACGGCAAGCAATGGGGTTTCATCTGCGCTGACACTGAACGGCAAGGAAAGGCGGCCCACCCCACCCGCCTCCCGTCTGCAGATCCAGAATTCAAATCCGATCGTCCCTTCGCCGGTCCTGCGGGGCGATGATGGGGTGGGACGAGCCACTTTCGTGGCACGCTTGAAATCAAATAAGCCAGCTCGGCTTACTCTTTTACTAAACCGCAAAGCACGAAGGAGGAAGGAAAATTCAGAAGCACCTGGAGGGAACCCAGTGGGAAAGGCGTAGAGGCAGTGCTTCATATTATCTTCCCTTTCGGGGATCCCCCCTTTCTCCCTGACCTCTCCCACAGCTACTTGGCTGGCCTTAAATTGTGCAGACGGGCAGCAATTCCCCGCCCTGGTCAAGGAGATCTTCTCTTCTCTTCTCTTCTCTTCTCTTCTCTTCTCTTCTCTTCTCTTCTCTTCTCTTCTCTTCTCTTCTCTTCTC